TCCGACTTATCGAATTTTTTTAAATATTGAAAAAAAGGGGCGAAAAATTTTGTCCGAGTTAAGCCAAATCCGACTTATCGAGTGTCCGACTTATCGAGAGTGACCATGTATTACTAAAATTAGATTGACGCAATTTGTCTATTTATTTGTAAAACTACACATTTTTGAAGTCTATTACTTGTAGAAGCCAATTATTTTTGTTACACATTATATAATGATTTGTTTGTACATTTCCACTCTTTTTTGAATAATTCTCATTATGAAGTCTATTTCTGAAAAAACTCAATGAAATTGTTGCTTGACTTGATAATGGGCTTTCTCATAAATTTCTTACACAATTGAAGATTACTTGTGCAACTGTAGATGATTACACGAGAAGTCAAGACTAAATATAAAAAACAGTCGAGAGGACGTCCAGCTAAACTTACTATTACTGAAACATAGGTTCGTGTCATGTATTTCATTGTGGCCTTCAATGTTGCTTATTCAGGTATTAGCTTATCTCATAAGATCATTATACTCTAACTAAATCTTGTAAGCCGTCTTGTTGAAGGCGATGAGGTTGTTGTAGGTCGGCTGTCAATTTCAGCTTGACTTGAACTGGGTGATTCCTGTTGCCTATCATTTGTCTCACCCAGTGACGAAAGACTTGCTGCAATAGCAGCTTGCAGCATTTCCTCATCAGTGTCCGCGCTCTTTTCATTCCCGTTAGCTTCCAGAGAGGTTACATAGTCATCAGCCTGACATCGAGGAAATATTCCCTTCACAACAAATACACTGTATCCTGTGTATGAGTAATAATTAGTTAGCATCTTAATACTTACATTACCTTTTTTTGTATCTTTGCTTACCATTGTTATTTAATTCAGCCAACAGCAGTTCTAAATATAGCTGGCTAATCCATTCCGGGCCTTTTAGTACAGAGTCTAAGTTATACCAACGCAGAGGACTATTACCAAACTTCCTCAAAGTGAACCTGTTATACATGAAAAGACAGTTTGAAAGATAGAAACGGAATCCGATTCGCATTTAACGGGATGAATGTTAATGAGTTACTGTTCTCTACCAGTGTTCGTGCTGATTACATATGTATGCAATTTCGTTCCTTTCAAATGAAGCGTAGACAATATTTTGTATTTGAAGAAAAGAGACAAGAAATCAATATGTTAAATATATGAAAGAATTATCAATATGAAATATCCGAATGCTTTGATTTAGATATTTTGTGACAGACTCTTACTCTGGACGAATACGCGCATCGACACAGTCTTCTGAACCATATAAAATTATATCTAAAAGAGGTTGAACACGAAGTTAACCGCCGCAAAATAAGTCAAATACTCGATGCAAGACACGCTTACCAAGATCCTACATTTTTAATGCATTGGCGAGTACCTGCATTATCAAAGAGTTTGACTGTTACTATGTCGACAATTATGCACTGTTCTGTGGTTAAAACGATATGAGTACCTGGATTGAAAAAAATCCGGTATCATCCATATTCTGACTCGTTTTTGCTTCACTTCCTTCATCCGTATTATTCAAAGCAGCTGATTCCGCTTCATCAAGTTCTCGAGCAATTTCGCTCAGATCAACGGCTGTGAAATATTCGCCTGAAACGAAAAGTGTTTGTTCCGAATGAGAGATTGAGTTATGAGATGGTGAAATATGAATGGGGGACGGAATACCTTGAAGAAGTGCGTTAAGACAATGTTGCGCACATAAGTAACCTTCTTGCTGTTGATCAACGAAGTGTATTAATATCTGCATGTAACTGAAGTTTATGGGATTGCTAGATGTTTACCTTCTCCCAGAAAAGATAGGACAGAAAGTCGGACATTTCGGAGGAAATTAAGCAATCATCGATCGTGATTTTCCCACTTAAAATGTGAGAGCCATGGAAGATTTCAGGGTGCCGATCCATTTTCACGTGTCACAGTCGCGTGTTATTATTCCGAAAAAATCAAGTCTCAGTAACCCGTTGTATGTAATTACGACGGATTATTATTGTCCTCTAGAAATACAATAGCGTTTAGTTAGTTCTTCAACATCTTACTCTTGATTACCCAACTAAACATGTAATAAAAAATTTTTAATCAATTGCTATTCAAGTGCGTTCTTTGTAATAAGTTTGACGAATTTGGCCGAAAATTACTTTATGCTATTGGAGCTTGTGAAAAAAATGGTGATAAAAATAAAATTGGAAATGTAAATGTTGTACCTCAGTTGGGGACCTGTCTGGGTTCTGAACTGAGACAACTGATTTCTGGACTGCATGACTGGGTTGAGACAACCGAGTTCTGGACTGCATGACTGGGTTCTGAACTGAGACAACTAAATTTTTGACTGCATGACTGGGGTTCTCTGAGACAGGTTCTGAACTCAGACACAACATGCAAATAAATTGATATTTACAGTTTTAACATTTGGTAGTGAGAATGTTCAACAGAATAAATTATGCTAATACAGATGAGATGGTGAATATGAAGTTACAAGCCAGCCAATAATAATAAGTGGAGAAATACAAAGGGTGCATAAAAAAAACTCAACTTGGTGAATAATAGATAGTCAAAACAGTTGTAATGACACAACCATTGAAAGATTGAAACAAAATCCCGAGGAAACATTTTACTGACAATTATTTTACTGAAAGTTGCCAGTGAAGTAAATGCCTCTCAGGAATATGCAAATAATAAACCAGCAGCAAAAATAAAGGCTTATGAATATTGGTGACAGATTTTTTTTGTGCTTATTACACTAAATTACTTCATTTTATAAAGGCAAATTTGATTATGACTACACTATCCTCTTTTAATTTATTTTCCAAACATTGTATTAAAAAAAAATAATTTCTATATCAGATAAGGTTGAGAATGTGCTTGTTTTTGGTTGGAAAATTTCATTTGCTACAAACAGAGCTTTATGAGATAATCTATTTTTTAATAAATGAGAAAATTTTGGTTCTGAAGAAGTGTATGAAGACTTCATAAGCATGTTGGCAGTCACCTGGGCATATTTTGTTATAAAAATTATCATGTATATAAATATTGAGGAATGCTTTTTTACTTTGCTGAAAGTTTTTTAAAAATTCCAATGCAGTATTACATCAAAAGCATGCTACTAAAAATATGGTTTACCTAGGAGGGTTATAGTACAATGGCTTTCAGTGATAATAACTTGTATTACTTTGCACAGTAAATGGACAAGCAGTTATCAAGCTTTAATCATTTACTGCTGCTAATGAAAATATAAAAAATGTATGTCTTTAAAGTGCAATCTACTGGCTATTCATACTGTTTGATTCTTAAACAAATTCGAATTGAAAGTGTCTGTCAGTATTAGCATTGGTATTGAATTGTTGTCTGGGGAAAATGACAAGTTGGAAATTTGAGGATTGCAAAATAAATAAATAAAATAAGTTTTATAAATATATTCATTAAACTTTGTTGCAGGCAAAATTCCTGTAAATTATAATTTATCAACTACTACTATAAACTCCCCAAGAGAAAGGTTTTTGATCAACAAATACTAATAATAATAATGTAACAACATACAATCTAGATTATCTACTTGTTTGTGGATTTTACTTCTGATCTGTTTTCTCAACTCATTTTCATCAACTTTTTATTTAATAGAGGCAGACTATTAATTTATATTTAGTCCAATCACATGTAAAGCACACCATTCATCAAGAAATTACTGGCAGAGAACATACCTCTTTTATTCTTAACTTTGACCTGATGGATTAAATGCCTCATCAAATATGACAATTTTTTTTTCTGTAACATAATTTTTTTAAGTCAGAATCTGGCAATACACAGGGTGCCTCTGCAGGTTTTTTTCACAATTAAGATTCATGCAGAATTTACTATTACTCATTATTGTTATCAGCAAAGCCACCATTTAATATAATATAAAGGAATGGGGAAATGCATCCACCTTTGTTTAACTTGCCCTTTTAAACTTGACATGATAAATGTCAAACTACATTGTTATGTTTAACCAAGTCTGAATTTTGTGCTCATTTTATAATTTGGGTCTTATGTTAACAGTTTAACAACTCTTCTCCATTTGCTATTTGTACAGAAGAAACAAGTTAAACATGTTTTTGACTAAATGATGAAGTCTTTAATGGTCATTTTATAGAACTGCCTGAGAATAAGTAATACAATAAACAAAAAACTTATTGCTTATTTTCAGCAGAATACAATAATAGGAAATCAGAGGTGATAAATTATTATTATTACATGTTGATTCAATATCAACAGAGTGTCCAGATAAAGTATTAGTATTGATGGAATGTTGCAGGCAGGAATGACTATGACTGAAGATGGACAGACAGAGACATAGTAATAGTACCAGATCTTAGAAGAAATGAGAGTTTTGGCAAAAATATTCTTCCTTTGAGAGAAAAGTTGTGTCATGATTATAAAATTGAACTTGTGCTGGAGAGAAAATTGGCATTTGCAGGATTAAGGAAGGAGAAAATTAGAACATTAAGGAATGAAGCCAAGTATAAGGAAGAGGGATAAAATTTTAAGGTTATGAGGTCATGAATGGTAAATTGGTAATAGTAAAAGAATCAACAATGAAGGAAATAAGAAAATGCCCAATTATTGCCATTATCCTGAAAACCAGAAAAAGAAGGAAAAGGAGTGTTATTAATTTAAAATGGATAAAGCAAAGGTGTGAGTTAGATAATGAAAGATTGAGGAAAAGAGAACAAGGTCTAGCATGAGTAAAGAAATTAAGAGAGAGTGGGGTTGTTAGAGAGAAGGAAAAAGAATTTATGTTTAGGACAGTACTACATGATAGATGTGACAATGCACAATGATACCAGGAAATCACAATTTAAATGTCAAGATCCTGAGTAATAAAATCAGTCAGTTTATTGAGTCATCTTCCAGTTAATTTTTTGATTTTCCATAACTTTTATTTTCTTGCACCTGTTTCTAACATTTTACAGGTTAGCTGTTCTCTACAGTTTATAATATTAATATGAAAGCTTAGGTTTGAAAGATGGGTTTATTTGAGATAGATTCCTACTGTATTGGTATGAGAAAAGCATATGTTGAAACAAAAAACTTTTCTATAATATTTGCTATCGACAACGCAGCTAGAAATATTTATTGTCAATCTCTTATATTCATAATTCCACATCCGCATGCATTGATTTTCATATCTGCTCATTATAATATCCGCGTTGGAATTAATTGCATTCGCTAAATTCTTCGAACAACGTATTCGTCGCTGCGGCTCGACTCGTTCTATTGTTTGTCCAACTTTGCTGGATCGTATTCATAGTAAGGGTATATTCCAAAACCGTTTGTAAAACCCTCATCGGATATGAGATCTTTGGAGAGCGTATATTTCACTGACCATCATTAGACATAAGCCCTTGCGCGTCTTAATATTAAGCTTTACGAAATCTAAATTATTTTAACTCGTGTTAATAACAGATTCTGTAAGCGAGCCGTAAATTACTGCTTACGCGCTTCAGATTTTCTATTTGCATGGTTGGCACCATTTAGCTCCCCTCACGTTAGCAAACGGTAAAATTTTGAGAACGAGGAATTAAACTATTCAAGTTCCGAAAGTGGAATAGATGACAAATAACTTTTGTCAGTTGAGTATGAGCTGTTAACATTCCTTTTTTATAAAATTTACTTGCGACAGATTAATATTGACATGTTCCCCATCCAAGGTTTCTACACCAATATCAAGCGTTTCTCCTGACAAGTTGCGTAACAATAAAGTCGGCTACTAAGGAATAGTAATGGGGTAATCGGTTTTGGTCGAGATCATACGCCTTAAACTTGTGTCGTCCAAAATGACGATGTGAAATCAGACCAGATTCCTCCTCTACCCCCTCATCACTTAATCAGCATCTCCAATCTCTCATATCAACTCTTTTATTCTACAGATCAATTACTCCTCAACTTCCATGGCCATCTATTTCAGCCATGTTTTCACTTATTCCTCCTTCCTCCTCTGTAATATAACATTGAATTTATCCCTTACTATCATACTTAGTACTATTTGTCCTTTTATTACCATACTAATACCATTTTGTACCCCAGCCCATATGGGCAAATTCTTTATTGTACCTCTGTACATATGTATAAGTTAAAACCAGCTTTAGCAGTTTATCTGTAGTTGGGCAATAAAGTCTTACATTAACGAAATCAGACCAGATCACACACCCTACCATCCAATCAACAAGACTACTTATTGTATGTTCACAAAAGGAAATATTACGCCACAGGCATCATGTGATTGTTAATAATCTAATCTCCGCGAGACTGAGATAATAATAATAACAACAAACATCTTTACACTGAGCTTTAGCGAGCACCTTGCTGTAAATAAAAGTTCCTCGCGAACGTCTTTATATAGTAAACGTAAACCGGATTTAGTGTTTACATTTACATACAACATTAGTCTACAAATGTAAGTAGGAGCACAGAGGTATAAGAAGTCTACATATCAAATATGGCCATCAAAGATACTAACGGTACGGTACAACTTTTCAGACTTCCCACTTAATTTTGGAAGTCAATGCCAGCTTTGGTAGACTGCCATATTGACATTACCAGTTCAATAGGCGATAATGATTCCTGTTTTCTCACAGAAATTCGTCAGGAGTATCTGAGCCGCGGGCTGAAAAAAACTATTTGAAAGGTAAGAATATGCTCATTCAAGCGTTTTAACTTTACTATTACTAGTGCTAAATTTTACATCTATAACTATTAACAACAATTAGTAAAGCAGACACATGAATGCGTCATCACCGAACGACGCCTATTTAGGACGTTGGCAGATGCCTATTATACGGTCTGCCCATCATTCTGTATAAAAATAGGCATCTGATACAAACCGAAGAAAATCGTCAGGAGTATCTCCGGCGGGGGGCCTGACAGGCTGAAGGTAAGAAGATAAATATACATGGTCATTCAAGTGTGCTAACGTTCACCAATACTAATCTTACACCTCTAACCATTAACAACAATTAGCAGGCAAACACCTGACTACAAAACAACAGCGCCCCCAAACAATGCCTATTCTGGAGTGAATTCCTTCATATTCAGAAATATGACTTGTTGGACGGTGCAGAGGTGGAAATGCACCGTTGATTGAGTGGGACTTTACTAGATGGATGGGGGCAATTGGAAACCGAAAAAAACACCAATTTGGATTTTGTATTCAGAATAGGAATCATACAATTTTAATAAATTTTACATAATAATAGTAATAGTATTATAATTAAGTATATTATTTAAAAGCTTAAAGATTTTAATTCTACCTATTACTATTTACACACTTGTAATGTTAAAATTGAGATAGACTAAATATAAAATATTTCTTTCAGAAATAATCTTGTGCTTTGTTGATTCTACATTTCTTTGAATACCTGATAAGTTTATACTAATACTTTATCATTTTAAGCAACTCTTCAATAATCCTACTTCATATTTGTACATGCATTATAAATTAAAATGTTATTTCCTTGCTGCTTATTTCTTGTTATGTTACAATAAAATTAAGCTTGCACTTAACTAATGACTAACTACTACTACATCACAATCAATGCCAAATTAAAAATGTCTTTCTTGGTCATTTCCTTGATCTTTGCATAATAATAAGCATTGACATCTGTTTTATGTTGAGTTCATTTGGATCTTATGGGCTTAATATTAACCAAAGTTTAAACCAGCTTCAATTATCACATGACAACCTAAACCATCGGAAATTCTATCAATAAAATCCATGATAAAGAAATAATGTCCAATTATTTAATGTCCAGAACATAGGAAGTCAAGAATTCAACTGTGGCTTGTTGGTCATCAAGTTTTAATGTGGTTAACTTTTTTGTGGATTTCTTCTTCACTGGAAAGATAGTGAATGTTATGATTATTAGTGACATCAACATTTACAAAAAACTTTTTTGAAAGACTAACATTACTTATTACTATTACCTGAATAAGAAGCTGATGACTTGGTGGTTGAAACTATCTTACCATTATAATTATGCCATTTAACAAATGAAGTTTATCTTTCAGGAAAATATAATAACAACAATAATACTTGCATAAAACAATTTGCAACATCAAGTTTGGTCAACCAAGTTGTAGGATCTTCAGCTGTAGAATAATGATATAATATAGTTGACAAAGAGTTTATACTGCATAACGTAATTGTGTACTTTGTAACTTATTACAATTGGTTTATTAATTACAGTATATATCTAAAATGGCACGTTTCCCTAATCTGTAATAGTAAGAGTTATTCATAATCTATTTCGCAAGAGTTCACGATAATAATTATTCTTTTTATCAAAACAACTGCGCAAGCACTTCTTTTGTCATCTATTTTATCATGAACGTTCAGAGCGTGTAATAAAACTAACTAATACTATTATCATCACTAATTCCATATTTACGGTTACGTTGGGAAAGTTCCAGAATTCTGGAACAATAATTTACGTTTACTGGTACCTCGCGGAATGACAAGACTAAAGCCGGGTAAATATCCCTCACATATTTATCTCCGCTAATTAAATCCCGGTGAGCAAAAGTCACTTCAAATGCATTTTAAAATTCTTTTAAACGATGATAGCATCACCGTATCGTTTTGAAAAAAAGTTAATAGTGTGTATGTGATAATATTGGATATAATAAATTACTTATGCCTGTTAACCATTGATTTTCTCTCTTGATTTACGTCTGTGTTTTTCATATTATATTTATAAATAGTGTATTAGATCAAATACGGATTAGGTAATTGAATTTAACGTTTTCAAAAGTCAATTACAATTACAATTACAATTAAAATTACTCACTTTATCATAATCTGCCTCGTCCACTTCATCCGGTGCAACGACACTGTCGCATGTTGAGTGAGTACGTAGAGTGTATGCAGAGTACGTAGTTTTGGAAAAGAATTATACGCACGTCTTTATCCTGTGTTTATGTTCTTCTCCATTGCGTATACAAATTCAATTACAAAACGCGCGCTTACACTAACAATACACAAAGCTTATGCAGCTCAATATACCCTGACATTAAACACTTTCCGACGTTTATTGCCAAGCTACATAGAGATGCAAAGATAAGACCTTTATTCGATTCTAACGTTAGTATAGATATACGCCTAGTATTAGTATAAAGACCATCTTTAATGAAATATTGCCTTCCACCTAACACCACTTTTTGACAAATACAATCAATCAGCTCCAAAAACGACACCATAATAATAATCATTGTTGCTTGCGCGGAAACAACTTTTGAAATAAAAGATTTATATATTAATATTTTGCCCAGAGGGAGTATTTCTGGATATAATAATAAAGCTATTATATGATATAAACCCCAAAATTCTTACCATGCTTTCTGATTTCACAAAATCCCAATCTCTTGTAGTGTCATCATAATAATTTCTTGTCAACAGTAACAATATTGTCATCATTGTTACATTGATCTTGTATAACTGTTTTGTTATAAACATTGTTAATAAAGCATCTCAAGATATTTAATATTATTTGGTTTTATTTAAAAGATGTCATACATTTACATTGGAAGGTTATTGCTAAGCTAGAATTAAGAATGGGATTTGAATGTTACTTATATTTATCGATGGTTTATAGCATTTTAAGTAAAATTTCCTAACATTAATTTCAGATCATTATTTTTTGGATCTATGTATTAGACAGCTCCGCCTACTCTGTGCATATGCATTGTTTGGTTCAATTTCTATCAATCAATGCACTGTCGTGTTGCTTTAATGCCCGATCATTGTTACTCGCCGTTTCCCAGATTGGTTCAATTGTTGCGTCGATGCTCAACATATATCGATTATAGGTTGGATTATTTCCGTGACATGCGTTCGATTTTCTTGTCCCCCACCCAAATCGCCTTGCGGTGCTGAACGGCATTATTCTGCCCGATAGCTTTAAGATCGAGTTAACTGTCTCGATCAATATGGTAAGTTTACCAGCCATGGAAAAAAACGCGCGGGAATATTTAAGCCAAGCTAACTGCCGATGGGAGATAATTTAGCGGATTTCGATTCCTTTTTATTATTAGGCAAGTTTTTTGCCCGTTAAATTTTCATCACCATAAAAACAGTTCAGCCCAAGACGCAGAGTGCAGTCGCATCGTCCGGTTAAACCTATAACGATTCGTTTAAGTAATTTGCTTCGGGCATCTGTGTTGACGCTTGCTGTGATCGATGCTGGTCTTCATCCGTACAGACGTTTTACATAGTTTGCTATGCATTTTTCGTTCTTGCATACAAGAACCCTTCTTGATTATTTAAGCGGTACAATAATTGAAGGCCCAAATTTTGTCCATGAGTGTTCCTGTTTGAAACATCTGCATTGTGTTTAATCTTATATTTATTGCAGAAGCAGTCATTAGAGTTAACCGATTCAGTTGACTGAAATCGATGCAAAGCTTGTGTTTGCCCAATGTTGCGTTTGGGGAAGAGCATTTGGGGAAAGGTATTGCTGCGTTTAGTACTGAAAGCTCGGTGGATGTCGTGGAAGTTTTCTTTCTCCGATAGTTTGGGCAGACCTTCCTGGTTTTGCGATATTACCAAGGAGAGTTAAATAATGCGTAAGACGTACATTTAGTTGGCTGACGAATGTTCCGTGTATTTGTAGCATCCGAGTTGCCATTTTATATATTCCCATCTCTGAAAGGTAGTAGACGATCATAGTGTAAAAATGGGCGCAGTAATATGTGCATGACGACTGTTATTCACTAACTAAATATGGGATTCCCAACATTCAATCTGAAAATAGGCAAGGTAGATATTGTTCCTTGTGTATGCATAAGGGCGGCGGCAGTTATCTGCTTCATAGTAGACATACGGACTTCCTCATCTGTACTAGACCAGTCGCTTAACAAGTTTGGCGTACACGCATAATCAAACATAGGGCTGAGACAGTCACGTTACTTTTTACAGGCGCAACAAATCAAATCTTGACAACTAATTATTTTATAACTTATTAAAACACTCAGATTAAATCTTTGAATAGGCACATTTTAAATCAACAATGCGTGGAAATGAACTGCGTCTATGCAGAATCGGCTGAATTCTAGTTTGACAGTACAGGTTTTTGTTAGAGATAAAATAAAATTAAATAAATATATATAATAATAATAGTAATAGTAATAGTAATAGTAACAATAAACAACATGTTCATGAAATTTGCACAATTGTACATTTTCGGAAACATAAATACGAATTAACACTATTACTATTGATACTTAAATTATAACTATTAGAGCAAAAGAGAGGCAGAAAAGAGAAAAAAATTTTCAATAACGAAAGTCATATTAATATAAATAATTGGATAGCGGACAGACTACTTTTTGTATGTTTCAATTCACAGGATTCTCAAACAACTTCCTATAGCTCGAGTACAAATATCATCAAAGTAATAATATTATGCACCAATATAATTATCCGTTCCTGCACAAAAGAGGGAAACAGGTTTTGTTACAAGAGAAAAAATTTGAATTATTCATAATTATAAGGATAAACTTGCTGAATTGGACAACGATCGAATTGCACGTATGAGCAGACTCCAATCAGAAAATATTATCTGGCCTGAATGCATGGATTTGGGCAAGAATAAAGACGAGAGCCACACTTGACGATAAAAATAAACTGAAATCTGCTGCTTAGGGATTGAGGTTAATTCACATATAATTGGGGAATGGGCATCATTTTCTGACTGCATTTCAGACACTTGATAACGATAGAATTTCAACCAACCTGTGAGCTAAATTGTTTCAATTATCATAATTAGTCAGATATAATAGATTTTGGTTTTGGTAAGGTTCTTTTCTTCTATATCTTTTTGTAGTTCGATTGATATGATACATAAAAGATCAGACAAAAATATTTTTGTTAATTTAATAAACGTTGGCATATAATATATTTTATTATTGTACTCTGTATTTGAGAATTCTTATCAAGGCCTATTACTATTATGTTTTTATTTACATTGTCAAGAAGTTGTGCATTACCCATAAGAGACACCATCGGACAAGTTTCCAGTCTTTCGTGATCTTATCAGTACGCGTAGTTTAAGATTCAACGTATACAAAAATACTCAATACTCAATCAAACGGAAACGAATGGTTGGCATCCTCAAAACTATGCTTAGTAACTGACTCTCACGTTGTAATAACTAATACACTCTATTTTGTTCACCCAATGTAATGTATTGTAATGACGTCACATTTGGACTTCGATTTTACCCAATTACCGTAACTCCAGAGCTGTCTCCCCTGAAAATGACACAGCACGCGTTGCCGCATTGCACGACAAGACTGTTGACTGGAAGCAAGATTAATTTCCTGGAAATCGGTTCAACTGGTTTCTTTTCGTGCGAATTGGGTCGCCTGTCGTCATATAATTTGTGACAATACTGAATAGACTTGGCCTAAACTCTCCAAGGCGGAACCCACCTCAGGATTTGAAGGAGTACAGTACGTGTTACTGGCGTCAGACTCATTATGAGCGACTTTTGGTGCCGCCGACGAGTGATGAGAATGGGTTAGAATTTCGTAACGTTAATTTTTAGATTCAAATAGGTATTAGTTAGCTGATGAATTGTGTTCAGTCGACAGGTTAGTTGAACAACTTGCGGTCTTAGCATACAACATCAAAAACGTGATTACCACATATAACTCTGTTTCTCAATAATATATATGGTTTAGATCAAGCACGACGAAGGGGAAGGAAAGCGTTATGCTGTTGGGATGGGATATTTCAGAGAGGATGTCGGAATGTATACAATGCACAAGTTCAACCTGTAGTGGCGCGAAGGTGTCAAGGATCTAGCTCTCATAAGAGTCTGCTACAGTAACCATCATTCGAACTATGATGATACAGATGAACGGCCCGGTAAGACATTAAAACTTCATACGTATTTAGACGATAACCCAATCATTGTCTCAGCGTTTCGTATTAAAGGATTATATGGATACGACAGTTGGCCCAAATACATGGGATAGGATCCTGGCAAACTTCAAGAATCGAACCAGCTGGCGTATTCTCTTCTAATCGATAGCGAACAAGTACCGTGAAGGAAAGATGAAACAAACTTTGAATTGTTGAAAGGGAAACGCTTGAACTCAGCATACCGTTGGGAATTCCAGTTCAGAGATACGGGAAAGGATTCTGTCCAGACAGCTTTTTTTAGAGAGCGTTGTAGATTGAACATATGCTGCGAGCAGACCGAAACAACCAAAAGATAATATTGTTTTTGGAAAAGTGAGTAGCTCTACTTGTAATTGATGCCAGTGTGAGGGAATTATAGTGAGAGTCGAACTATAGTAATGAGTAACGATTAGGGGATTATATGAGATTTGAATGACTTCAATGTTAGATATTTCTGGTAATGTTGAACTAACATGTGACTTCCAATCTTCTTGCTTGGGTTTCAGCATAGCGATACAAGCAGTAACATATATCAATAATGCGATGTGGAAATGTACGAATACTTTGGAACCAACAAATTTATGTTCTATTTAAAAAGCACGCATCGAAATAGAAGAATCTAGTACAGAGTTTTTAACTTATCTCTAGGTAGCATGGATAGAAACACTACTTGAATTCATACTGAGAATGAATTTTTGTATTTTATTACAGATATACATGCCTTGTAAAGAATTATGGACTCGGCCCTTCTTTGCCATTTAATCTAGCCCACAGGAGTAATGGCAAGATCTATCTGCGCGCTTTGGATTTTCATCAGCGTTGCGTGCCCTGATAATGGTTCAAATTACGATGTTGCCTTTTTGTTGGGAGTTGGGGGCAACGAAGAAGGAGCAGATTTTGTTCCGGCAAGTCTGTTTGTGCGTACGCAGACTTTATTTGTTCTGCTTTCACATCAGCAACAGCTCGGAGCACGTATGTCTTGTCACTTCTGGATCTTACAATCATCACATCAATGCCGCAACATATCTCCTGAATACAGATTTTCAAGTGAACGACGTAGGGTTACAAAGGTAAGCACATTGTCCGGACATAAACCCGGAAGAAATGAGGATTTGATATAGATTATACAACTCCCATACATATTAATAATTATTGTGCTATTAATTACAGTCTCGGCTATAATTGAATTCACGCTTGACAGACTGACGTCAATTGTCAACTTTTGGATTCGTCTGTTCGCTCTTGCAAATCCCCGAACCGCTTGAAGATTTACACGCCGCATAAATAAATATTTCTGACTGCATCAGCAAGGTATCAGAATACCCTGTGGGGAAATGTCGAGATGCTAGAAGACTGGATGGCGGCGGCATTATAAAAGGGCTAGTTCGATGACATCTTCTAAATTATAACCAAATTTGTTCTGCTGGTGAGTAAGAACTCAACGATTATCATTCGTTGCATCATGTGATGTCACCAAAATGGCTCGAGGCATAGATACACGCATCCGTAAATTTCTGTCCAAGTAGACCTAACGAAGAGGTATAAGGGACATATGATATGCACAAACCACCAGAAGTATGGTTGTTGGGAGATAAGGCACTCTCTCTCTCTGCTATGGCGAAAATTGCTGGCCGGCATCAGTGGTTATATATCTCACTTTCGATCTGGGTTTTCACTCATCATACCCATTGACATTGACAGAAATTGAACTAGGTTAGAACTGCAATATGCGAAGCTGCCGAACGAAAACACTGGCAGGAATTTGAAATGTACTTTATTCTTATTACTTGGCCTACATTTGTCTAGCGGGACTACTTCATAGAACAGCTATGACGGACGCATTTCCTTCGATCCGGTCAGAAGGCGGTAATTTTCTCTCAGCATAAGTAGACCAAGCTTAGTACATTTGGCGCCGCTGAAGCCTGAATTGATTGGTGTATGTATGAGTCGATTAGGTAAAGTTAATCATATAAACAATCATCAACATATTAATTAGCGCGATTAATAAAATTCTTGACACGAATATCCTATTTCAAACTCACTTTTTTCACCTCCCAGATTCTATTTGCGACAGAATATCAATTGCCTGAATCACAACATGAGCTCCGTATAAAGCACGATACTTTCTTGTATGAAAGTGGAGACCTATCAGCAAAGTTAGCATTTTGAAACACTGTGTAATGCCGGGTATTACTCCGTGTCAAAGATTGATATTGTAGGAATCTTCGCAATTCAGATTCGAATGCGACTTTGAATTACCCTTGCTCCTATGATCGGTCGTAATCCTGAGACAAGGATATTGATATGAAATTACATTATCCTCGTCCTTTGTGTTTCTCTGATTATATTTTTCGTGTTGCTTGTCCAATCCTTTTTTTTTTTTGTTACATTGCTGGCACCATATCACGCTAGCATTGCGCTATCTAACTCCGTGTCTTGTCTTCTTTATATTTAATAGAAGTGATCGGTTAGTCCCGTCCTCGATCGAATAACCACTTGGTTGTTGAGATATTATCAATTGTATGAGTACATGTTATGGCGGTTCTAGGTTTTGGGATTGCACAACCGAGTGTTCTCTGGCCTAATAAAAAATAGATATGTATTAAACAACATTAATCAAACCATGTCTAAATATAAAGCGGAACAATCTCCCATTGGTCAAATTTGTACTCCGGCCAATACCCGGATCACGTACCGCTCGACTCTTAACATATATGAGATACGATTGGATGATAAGGATGACAGAAGCAATTAGGATAAGTATGAGTCTCACCCTTTCTTGTATGCTATCTTCGCTTGTTCCCATTAACAATAAAGACAAATTATGTCTACTCAAAAATATAATAACAAAGGCAAAATACGCCTTCATCAACCCCCAACAAATATAGACATTTTATATACGGTACTAAACACTGTACCAAATGATATAATAACACTAAGAGTTAGGTTATTAAGACCTCTTTTAATAAGCTACGCTCTTGGGGGAGATCTTAGGGCATTAATCATTCTGAACAAATCTTTGCTCAACCTCCGCATAAACAAGAGAGTTGCCATATCCCACTCTCATCAGCTGAGTGATCGCGAAGCGAAGAAGACGATGACTTGCGGCGCGGGGGACGGCGGGAAATTACAGCGCGCTCCCGCTGCTCGGGGTTGATTATGGAGGGGGAGGCAAGCTAATCACATGCATGCCAAGAAAAATATCGTTTTATGAACAAGTGGCGGGAAATTCCCGGGGGGCCCGCCAAGTAGAAAGCAGTTCTCAACCATTGTCTTTTTTCAAAGTTTTCGTTTTATATTTTATTTATCATTTAGATCTATTATGATAGAAACATTGATAGACTATCAAGCGATGGTCTATCAGTTCTTTCAGTAAGCAAAATTATAAATAGATGTGTTTCGTTTTCGTGTTTTGATTCAACTTTCATTATTCTCTTTTACATACTTCATGTAATATTTGATTGGAACTTGAACCCTAACCTCACATACTGTCAATAAAAAGATAACAAGATTCGGTATTTTATTCATTAGCCCCATAATAATAAAACAAATGAGTGGTTTTAGCCTATTGTAATCGATAATAGTCTGAAGCAGGTGGTGAGCACATCTCCTGGTCGTATTAATCATATTCGAAACTTATGTTCAATGACGTCTGATGAAGTTTATTTGAATGTGTTTCTACGAGTTTTGCGTCATTTCGCCAACAATCAACTTACCAAAAAAAAGAAAATTCGAATAATGTTGGTGAATATATGCCGGTGAAATTAATTGTCGGTAAAACATCATACACATATGCTATGGAAGGTAGAAGGAATAGACCGAACGTTATTGTATGTCTAGTAAAACTTGTCTTATTCTAATTTAACCTGACGCTCATTTATTGG